CCGCTTGTTCCTGTAATATGTTTCTTTGCTTTTTTATTATTTTCATTTCATCTTTTAATGCAATGTTTACATTAATAGGCCAATCTTACCATTCTTAGTAGGATAGGCTCCTACATACGTCTGTAAGCAGTATCGCTAACTTCTGCCACATCTGACCCCCTCTAGTCTACAAAACCCCCCAGTCATCAAAAACAGTCAGCAAACCCAAAAGACCAAAACATCCGACAGGAAGAGAGCGACAGGTCCTCTTATGTCCTGAAATCAGATTCTTCGGGGCTGCCACAGAGACGATGTGCTTTCTCAACACACATTCACATATGTCAGGTAGAGGTGACATTTCCTGCACACTATTTCATGAAAAACAGCTTACAGGATCTTTTAAGTGTCATACACACATCAGAGCTTTACCTTTGTTTTCCGATTCACAGGGCTGCTGAGGCAACAGTACACAGGTCAGGACCTTGTCTCCAGACTCGGGGTCCACATCCGTCTGGAAGGTGAGCAGTGGTTGAGACTGGTTCTCTGACAGCCAGAGAGCTTTGAGTCGTAGAGAGGTCAGGGTCAAGGGCAGGTAGAGCAGCCTTCACAGAGATACGGACAGAATATCATTCACAAGAAGCGCTTCTGCCTCTCTTTAATGCTGCTACTGCAAACTCTCAAAGCGGGACAATTGGTATGTTCTCCTACTAGTCCTAATGTGGTGGGCATGCACGTGTTTTTACAGGCTTTATTACTCAGTATTGTTTAATAAATTAAATGCCTTTTTTTAAACTAATCTGACAAAGTGAAAAAGCATATTCAACGACGATTTTATCCATCAGAAATGGACTTGATTGTAGAAAAGGGGCGTTACATGCCATAATAGAGCCTGGTGGTTCAAAGATAAGTGTGATTTGTGAAGTTGTTCAACAAATTAACATGACACAGGAGAAAGTTTCCACCAGTGTTAGGGGGAGTACATTACAAGTAATGTGAGTTATGTAATCAGATTACTTTTTTCAAGTAACTAGTAAAGTAACATTATTTAAAACAAAATCTGAGTTACATTTTCAAATAAGTAATGCAAGTTACTTTGTTTTCCCATTTATTCGCTGGGAGTGAGTTGCAGAGGCACTTCCTTCAGCCTGAGGCTTATTCATTTCACTTTTGGTGTGAAAGGATTGTAGAAAATATAACTTTTGGGTTTTTGTTATCAAAAAACAAATAAGCAAGCCCAGCCCAAGGGACAAAAAGTAATGCAAAAGTAACGTAACACATTACTCTCCATAAAAAGTAATGCAATTAGTTATTTTTTTTTTATAGAGTAATGCAATATTGTAAAAGTAACTTTCCCCAACACTGGTTACCACAATATGATTAGAGATTATCAAGGCATTTTTTTCTTTTGAAATAACATTATGAATCATGCATAAATGAATTATGCACAATAAGATTGTTATTAGATATCAATTTTAGCTATATGGATCACCACTGAAGATTATTTTCATTGTTGTCTGTAAAAACAAGAAAAAAAATGAAACAATGGTACAATACAGTGGTTTTATTCTGTAAATCATGTTTACAGTAATGGACTTACAATGGAAGTCTATGGAGCAAGTGCACTAGAGGATTTAAAAGCAGAAATGTGCAGCTTGTATTTTTGTTACCAAATTTATATGAATACTTCTGTTCAGCAGCATAATATTTGAGCTGTAAAGTTCTCTCCATGTGGATTAATTTCTGTATGTATTACTGACTGTGGATTTGTTTGTAGTTTAACGCCATGCCAGCTAACACGGCTATATTCATGGCGAGAAAAGGGGAAAATAAATAAATATATAAATAATGATAGACAGACTTTTATAAGAGGTTTTTAAAATGTATCTTTGATAAAAATTCTAAAACTAAAACTGGTGTCACTTCATTAAAAATATTTTCAGAAGAGTCAACTGAAATTTAAAGAGTCCTAATGGAGTTCAAGACATCACACTGCACCAAAATATGTTTCAGTGATAAAAGACTCTGGCAAGAGGGGCTTAAAGGAGGCTCTTCACCCATTAACAAAAACGTATGGGTTAGTCTGGAGTGGCCTATTCAACAGCGTGTGTAGATAATATGGTCCCAGTGATTAAAATGTACACCCATTAATGAAAACTGTGTCATCATTTACTCACCCTCATGTCAATCCATAAGACTTTCATTCATCTTTGAAACACAAATTATATTTAATGAAATGAGAGAGAGAGAGTCCTCCATTCTCAGATCTGAGGTGCAATACAATCAGAGGAAAGAATCGAATACAGGCAAGGCCGAGTAGAAGTTTTTAATGAGATGTGGGAACTCTTTGCTGAATGAATCAAGTTGGATCTTCTAAATCATATTATCGATTAGTTTATAAAATTGTAATTATGTTAAGTCTATACATTTATGTATATTTATTTATTAGTGCTGTGAAAATTAATGCGTTAACGCATGCAATTAATTTTTTCAGTTTAAATCCTTAAAAATATTTAACGCAATTAACACTGGAGCTGGACAAAAATTGTGTTTATTTAGACGCAGAACGTCTTTACGACCACATCAAATGGGAGACTTTCAGACGCGCGCTCCAACTTCACCTCAAACGAGCGAGGAAAAGATCCAGGTGATGAGAGAGCTTCAGCAGAACAACAGTGATCTGCGGTCAGATGAGATGCTGTCAGGCCACATGTCAGTAAAAAACAGTTATATATATATCTGAAATGTTATTCTGTGCTTGTAGCACATTCTCTTCAATTGCACGCACAAATACGGCGGTGCACACAGTGTATCATTTCATATTAAAGTGCAAAATAACCTAATAACCAGCTGCTGTGATGTCTATTAATCAAAGAAAAATAGAGGAAACCAATAACTTTCGTAGCTTTAAGGATTCATCTTTATTTAAATTAGAATTTAGTGTTTGATAACTTTATTCAATTTCTGTATATTTCCTACTTGCTGAAGGGCACAGGTATGACATCTATTATAATGGGTTTATGTGAAGATTGTTTTAAGTTATTTTAAGTAATTTTTTAAAGGCTAATAAATGTTAAAATTGATATTAATGTTGAATGGCTATAGCCATTGGTTAAATATTAGAAAGAAAAAAAAATTTGGTTTATTGGTATCAGATATACTCGCCGTCGGTCATAAAAAAGATGCCATTAAACAAATATTAAAAATATATGTTATGGTATATATGTCTTTGTGTTGTTACTACATTAATTTGAAGATTGAATGTGAAATTATTGCAATATAAAAATATATTTAAAAACTTTAATGTTAGGTGGGATTAATCTCAATTGCGATTAATCTCAGAAAAAAAAATTGTAATCGATTAACAGCACTATTATTTATATATAAAATTAATGTATGTATTTTTGCTTGGTTTGTCTTATTAGAATGTTTTGATATTTTTTCCCTTTTTTTCCCACCTTTGTATTGTATTTTTATGTATGGCAAGTGTAAAACCGCCAAAATGTTGACGCTTCAGTTCAACCTTACTTATTTAAGAGAATAAACCTCATTGGTTCTCATTCTTGTTTGAGCTTCTGTTTATCATATTTGATGTGATCTGTGTATGTGCATTGATCAGTTTTTATATGTCAATAAAAGCCTAAAACTAAACCATGTGTCATCATACAAGTCTTCTCAGAAAACTTGGATTAAAGTGCTCTAAACATATGGAATAGGTTTACTTGTGCTATATTAACTTTTTGAAGTATTGGTGGAATGGACTTTCAACGGAGGGACAGAAATATTTCATACTTCATTTAAATATCCTAATTTGTGTTTTGAAGACGAACAAACATTTTATGGATTTAGAGTGGCATTTATAAATGTATAAGTGCAGAGTGATGCAGTGATACACATCCCGTGTCAAAGGAACTCATTAATGCGTTTGATGACTCAGGCTTCATCACAAACCCCCCCAGTGAGATAACTATGTTCTGACAAACCTGTTTCCAGACACGTCGAGCACGTGCAGCTCTGTAGCCTGCGAGAGCTCGGGAGGGATGCGTGTCAGACGGTTCTCTCTCACACACAGAACATTCAGACTGCAGCAGCCGCCGATCTGAAACAAATCACAAAACAACATCAGCAAATTCCTTTGTGACCAGTGCGAAACACTGGAAATCAGCACATTACCCTGTCACACGAGAGCACAACATTAGCTCCACCAGCATATGAATATTTGCAGGAAATGTCTGAGAAGACAGACAGTAATGAACAAAATGAATTGAACACAGCTGCATTAACAGCAAGCAAACTGCAAACTTTCCTAAAAAAAAAGTGGTTTCAGTGACAGTAAGCCAGCAGAGCTAAAATTAGAAGCAATTAGAGGTGGTCTGAACTCCAGTTAAAGGGCAGCTAAAAGGCAATGAAAGCTCTCAAATGTGAAAGATTTTGAAGCAATGGATTCCTATGGAGCGATTTACACCCAGTGTTAATTTCGTCAACGAAGACGACGACGAAAAATATTCGTTAACAAACATTTTTTCTGTGACTAGGACGAGAAGTTGATGAACTAAAACTAATATCTGATGACAAAATTTATGCCGCGTCTTCGTTAACTAGATGAGACGGGACTATAATGTTATGCACTGAGAACTGATCGTGCGCTGTATATGAGAACTGAAGAAGTGGAGTGTGCGAGAGAGAGTGTGATTCTATCAGCGCGATTCCGCCTATCCTGCTTTCACTAACTTTAGGAACAGGAGCCGCAGTGGATGGATAGGCTACCAAAATGTGAACTAGCGATCTGAAACAATGGCCTCAGCACCCGAAGGGGTAGGGATAAAGTGACCAGACTCCCGTTTTTCCCGGGAGTCACAATTCGTTGTCGATTAACTTAAAGTTAGTGAAGGCGGTATAGGCAGAATCGCGCTGATAGAAGTGCTCTCTCTCATGCACGCTCCACTTCTTCAGTTCTCATATACAGCACGCGATCAGTTCTCAGTGCTCAAATACACACACAGCAGTCCAAATGTCTATCGCGTAGACTGTAGAGTATCTCACGTAAATACAGTCGGTTATGGATTAAGTGAACGTAAACAGGTGGGTGAAAAGTGGGTGTCAGTATTACATGCATGCCTTCCGTCTTAAAGGGACAGCGTTCCTAATTAAGTACCTATCCGTGTCATTAGTTTACCAACAAAAGATGTTAAATAAATATTTTA